GCCCACCTACCTGTATTAAGAAACTCCACAAGACTTATTTAATTATTAATTAAATGGGGGTGGTGAGGATCGAACTCGTGACACCGAGGCTTTGATACTATGTAAAGAACCAATTCAATCTAAAAGCTTAAGATGTTAGGTGAGACTACGTTAATGATTTTATACTTCTCTATCAGATAGAAAAGTTAGGAATCCACTAATGCAATAAAGTCGATCCTCTAAGGTTTTGAGCAACGACGTAGTATCAGATCCCAGTGAAAAAGGAAGAACTAAAACAAGCAGTTTTATTCATACAATTTTGAACTGATCATCTGATTAGGTTAGATAGGTTATAAGACTTACTAATTTTCTTTTGCATATGTTCTGGTCTTGCAGACTTGTAAAATATGATTTATTCAATTCTTTTAAACAACAGCTTTGCCAGTAGGTTTGTCTTGCACTGGGTCATTTTTATGGGATCCCCCGATTAGGAAGTGATAATAAGTCATACAAGACTTGATATATATATATATATATATATATATATATATATATCCTTGTTTTCTCCATCAAATGTTACACTTGAGATTGAATAATGGAATAATGGTATATTGAATAATTGTGTGTTACAATGTACAAGAGCTCTTTATTTAAAGAGACTAAAAGACCTAATGGTTAAGCCCACAAGATGTGGGACTATTCTATTATATACACTGAACTATTCTAACAACTACTGTAACACTCCCCCTCAAGCTGGTGCGTACATATTGTAAGCACCCAGCTTGCCACAAATGTATTCAGCCCGAGGACCTCTAAGAGCTTTAGTGAAGACATCCGCGAGTTGATAATTGGAGATGACAAATGCCGTTTTGATTTCTCGTGACTGAATCTTTTCTCGAATGAAATGACAATCGATCTCTATATATTTTGTTCTCTCATGAAATATAGGATTAGATGATATATGTAGTACAGCTTGATTGTCACAAATGAGTGTCATTGGCTGTTTCTGTTCACAAAGATGGAGCTCCTGAATTAACTGCTTTAACCAGATTAGTTCAAAGGTAGCAACTCCCATTGCACGATACTCAGCCTTTGCACTAGAGCGGGCAACAACAGTTTGTTTCTTACTTTTCCAAGAAATCAGGTTTCCTCCAAAGAAGACACAATAGCCTGAAGTAGAGCGCCTATCCGAGGGTGATACTGCCCAATCGGCATCTGAATAACCATAAATTTTTGTATTTCCCTGATCTAAATATAATAAGCCTTTCCCTGGTGCTCCTTTGATGTACCGGAGGATCCTCATAGCAGCATCCCACTGAGAATCACAAGGAGGGTCAAGGAACTGACTAGCCACATTAACAGAAAAAGAAATGTCCGGCCTAGTCACAGTGAGATAATTAAGCTTACCAATCAACCTTCGATATCGTCCAGGATCAGATAATGGCTCTCCCTGTCCAGGTAGTAATTTGATAGTAGGATCCATGGGTGTATCAACCGGCTTACATCCCAACGTACCAGTCTCCTCTAGGATATCCAAGGAATATTTCCTTTGACAGATAGAAATTCCCTGTCTAGACTGTGCCACTTCAACCCCTAAGAAATAACGAAGCTTACCAAGATCCTTCGTTTGAAATTGACTGAACAAATACTGTTTTAACTGGTGAATCCCAGCTTGATCACTTCCAGTGAGAATAATTTCATCAACATAGACTAACAAATATATGCACTTGTCAGGAGATGTGAACCTATAAAACACAGAATGATCGACCTTACTGCAGATTAAGCCAAAAGCTTGAACGACAGAACTGAAACTGCTGATGCATGCCCGAGGAGACTGCTTGAGGCGATATAAGGACTTACGAAGTCTGCATACCTTCCTAGACTCCCCCTGAGCAACAAACCCAGGTGGTTGCTCCGTGTAAAACTCTTCTTGTAAATCACCATGAAGAAAAGCATTTTTAATGTCTAGTTGAAGGAGTGGCCAGTGACGAATAACAGCGAGGGCAAGAAACATGCGGACAAACGCCATCTTAGCAACAGGAGAGAACGTGTCACTATAGTCAAGACCAAAAATCTAAGTAAAACCCTTGGCGACTAAACGCGCCATGAGACGATCAACATGGCCATCAGGCCCAACCTTGACATTAAAGACCCACCGCCAACCAACAATAGACTTCCCCGGAGGAACATGAACAAGATCCCAAGTGCCATTGGAATGAAGAGCAGTCATCTCATCAAGCATCGCTCGGCGCCATCCTGGATGAGAAAGTGCTTCACCTGTGGTCTTAGGAATAGAAACAGAAGAAAGATTAGAAACAAAGGTGAAATGAGGAATAGAAAGACGGTCATAGCTTAAAAAGGTATAAAGAGGATAAGGGTTACGAGTAGTACGTTTACCTTTTCTTTGGGCAATGGGAAGAGCCTCTGGTGTAGGAGCTGGAGGGGAAGAGGTGACAGGAGAAGGCGATGAGTCACCTAGGGTCAAGTCCGTAGGAGGCACTTTTTGACGATGCTGATAGGTAAGAAAAGGACGATCCTTAGGGATGAAGGCACTTTTCTCTGGAAAAGAGTCACCTGTAGCTGGTAAAGACAAGTCAAGAAAGGGAACGGGAAGAACCTGATCAACCTGTGACAACTGAGATGGGTTAGAATGAAAGGGTTGTTGATCTAGAAAAATGACATCAGCGGAAACAATATAACGCTTAAGATCAGGAGAATGAAAAACGATAACCCTTTTGAAGACGAGCACAACCAAGAAAAATACACTTAATGGCTTTGGAGATCATGAACAAAACTGGTACAACCAAAAACATGTGGAGATAGAGGATAAAGAGGAGCATCTGGAAACAATAGGTTATAGGGAATGTCATTGTTAAACACAGAGGAAGACATGCGATTGATGAGAAAACAAGATACTAGTACAGCATCCGCCCAGAAGTGAAGAGGAACCTTCATGTGAATAAGAAGAGTACGTGCAATTTCAATGAGATGTCTGTTTTTACGTTCGGCCACCCGATTTTGTTGTGGGGTGTGAGGACAAATGGTCTGGTGTAAAGTACCTTGTGTAGCCAAGAAATTAGAAAAGTAAAAAAAAACATATTCCTTAGCATTATCACTACGTAAAATACAAATAGATACACCAAATTGAGTATGAACCTCAGCAGAGGACTTTTTATAAATGGAGAATAACTCAGAACGATTTTTCATTAGATAAACCCAGGTACAACGAGAATAATCATCAATAAAAGTAACAAAATACCGAAAACCTAAAACAGACAAAGTATGACTTAGACCCCAAATATCTGAATGAATAAGAGAGAAATGAGCATCAGCTTGTTTATTGACTCGACTGACAAAGGAGGAGCGTGTGTGCTTCCCTTGCTGACACAACAGACAATTTAAAGATTGAATACCAGATAAAAGAGGGACCATCTTTTGCAATTTTGAAAGACTTGGATGACCGCGGAAACTGTGGATAAGTTGTGGAGATTCTGTGAGAGAGCATGCCACTGTAGGACGAGGTACAACCAGATAATAAAGCCCCCATGACTCACGACCCTCTCCAATTGTCTTCCTTGTACTCGGATCCTGCACAGAAACAGAATGGTTAGAGAAAGTAATGGTGCAAGTGAGGGAGTAGACCAATTTACTAACATAAATTAAGTTATAAGGGATGCTAGGGATGTAAAAGACAGATGTCAAGGTCAAGCTAGAGGTCGGACGAACTTGTCCAATCCCACGAGCTGGGGCTTTAGTTTCATCAGCAAGGGTGAAAGAAGGTAAATGATCAGAATAAGTAAGAGACATAAATAGTTCTTTATTACCACAGAGATGATCGGTAGCACCTGAGTCAAATATCCCAGGGCCAAGTGATGTAGAATGAGAAACACAAGCAATAAGATTACTAGTATCTGGAGCAGAAGACCGAGACTGAGGAGAAGTCTTCCTGAGAAAAGTATGAAGTGCTGCATAGTCTGCAGGAGAGAGAGAGACTAAACCAGATGAAGGAGTATCTGACTTAACTATATTTGCAGCATAAGAAGGTCGCAGGTGAGGATACTTCGTGTAACAACACTCCTCATAATGACCAAATTGTTGACAATAACTACAACGAGGTCTTCGACTACATCCACTGTTCCCACGAGAGCCAGTATGGGAAACAAGAGCAATGGAATAAACAACAGAAGATGAATCAGGAGCAGGGGATGATTCTGCCATTACGAACGCAATAAAAACTTGCAGAACAAAGCAAATCGGATCAATCGGATAGCCGAACAAGAAGGAACACATGTTTCTGGCGATGAACAGTAACTCCGGCAATTTGGACAGTGTCTGCGGCGACGTGAACAATGACTGTACGGACGTGAACAGTACCGTACGGGGGCACGATGAATAGTGATTGTACGGACGCGGTGATCCGAGATCGTATGGGACGCGATGAATAGTAAACGTACGGACGAGATGAACAGTACTGCACGAATAGTTGCAGAAACAAGCCGGAGGGACGCATGGCGTAGAGGAAGACTTGCCGGAAGAATGCACGGCAAAGTAGAAGAGAATACCTAAGCAGTGGGCTTAGGGTTTTAGCGGAAGCAAGGGTCCCCAAAACAACCAGCTCTGGTACCAACTTAAGATTGAATAATGGAATAATGGTATATTGAATAATTGTGTGTTACAATGTACAAAAGCTTTTTATTTAAAGAGACTAAAAGACCTAATGGGCTAAGCCCACAAGAACTATTCTATTATATACACTGAACTATTCTAATAACTACTCTAACAGTTACAATGCTGAGACTTGACTTCTTTGTTCATATGTGAAATTGCTCTAATAAGCCACTGAAATGGGCTATCTTTTCTCCTTTGGGAGTGAATATACAATTTAAACTAGGCTTGAAAAAAATATGATCTGGATGTTGATATTATCAGGAATACTATCTCCTAAAGGATTATGACCTCTTTTCTTACCCATGATCAAGTTCATATTATATATTGGGTTTAAATGTTTTGCATTGACACAGATATCTGAGATAAAGATAGCTGACATTCCTGATGTTGACTTATCAAATGTTGGGGTTACAAAGTATGGAAGCTTCAGTGTGGAAGTAATAGACCCAGTTTCTGACTATCTGGAGCTATTGGAGGTGAAAATCATCTGTTTGCATCATTATAATCTGATAGAACAATTCATGTGAACTGGATCTCAGTGTTTTGTTTTCTATTTTATTTTATTTATTGTTATCTTTTGTGCAGACAGTATTTGATTTTCAACTAATCAAAGGTCTTCTTTCACTGCCGGATTTTAGGTACAATGTATTTTGTTCTCTGAATATTGCAAATTTTGATTTTATGGGATCGCATGTTGCTTTGGATCTTGTTCCCTTTTTAGTGTCCTTTTTTGTTCTGGTCTCTTGGTTTTCATTTATTTTGCTTAGCAGGTGTTGGTCTTAGAGGGCAAAGTCACTACAGAAATTTTAGTTTTTTCCATATTGTTTACTTAGTACTACAGCCACACTCTTGTACTATATAATCTTTTTACAGTGACAGTCACATTCTCCAAAATGGTTCTCTCTAATATCCTGCTCTCTCAACAATGACAATTTGAGATCCCCCATTTGACAATATCTAATTTTCTGTGCTACTTCTACGTGACCCTAAAAGAATCCTCGAGTGGCTAGCATTAGAATTAAGAAATATAGAGATATTGTCTTTAAATATGAACTCGTTAAAAGAATATATATGCTTTTTTCCCCCTTCTCTATATATTTCATAGAGAAATGCTAGCAAGTAGTATCACTATCTTTTCAACACTCTTTGTAGTTGGGTGAAATCCTATACTGGGCCAGCATGAAATTTCACTCAATAGTGCAAAAGTATTGAAAAGAGTGTGTTATTAGCATTCTTGGTATTTCATATTCCATTTTTTTAAATTAGTTTTGGCCTTTTTTGTCCTTACAGTGCATATGGCTTGATACATATATAATTTATTATTTTTCTGAACAGAGTGGGCTTATCGACTCGTGGGCATAGCTGGTTATCGTGTTTACAGTCTGAAAATTTCGTAGTCTTGATATTTATTGTATTTCTTTTTGTTATTTTTTATATTAGGTTCGTATTTGATGCCATGCATGCAGTTACTGGTGCTTATGCAAAACCCATCTTCGTTGATAAACTTGGAGCTAGTCTGGTATGGTCCTCCCTTTTAAACTCTCTTAGGGAGTGAATAAAAATTTATATGAAGTTGTTGATTTTAGATGTTAAGTATGCAATGTAGGATTCACTTTCAAATGGAATTCCTTTGGAAGATTTTGGACATGGTCATCCTGATCCAAATCTAACGTGAGTTTAGTGCTTTATTTGTTAACATTTTGTTTTCATCCATGAGAAAAATAATTTTGATGGTGATGTTTATTTGAACAGATATGCGAAGGATCTTGTCAACATTATGTATGCTGAAAATGGACCTGATTTTGGAGCTGCCAGTGATGGTATGTGAGATCAAAGCAGCAGCCAGTCCTTTGGTTTAAGATTTTAGTTACATGTTTTTATTATATAATTATATCCCTTGAGCTGATGCTTAGTTTGCTAACACAGTTTCACATGCATCTGTATATTTTTAGTTTATTACTGTACTTGAATTTTATGATTAACATCACACAGGAAATAATTTAATCTCTTAATATGATAAAAAAAATTAATTTAAATTATTTGTTTACAGATGTTCCAGTCAAATATATCTTGCCTGTTGCACTGGTTTATTAATGGTCACTACTTGTAGATGTTGCCTTAGTTGCTTCAATTCACTTTGGCATTTTTTTGCTGTGCTTTGTTATTCATGAAATTCAAAGTTGATGCCATCCCTTTACCCTTTCCTAACGTAGTTATTCAATTATTTCATTCCATGTCCAGTTCTTATCCGTATAAAGATGCTCTGTGCTTTGTATTTTTACTCTGTCTTCGATTCATGTCCACATTCTGCTTCTGTCTTTGGTTCATGATAGTTTTTATAATTTTGTTAAATAGTCTTCTCAATTGGTATTTGTATCAACTTGGTACGGGCAATACGATAAAGGATACTGGAATGCTTCGGGTTTAATAGGTTTTCTTTAGGGGGCATTTGGTACAAGAGAAATTTTTTTTTATCTGAGAATCATGATTTTCAGGAAAATGATGAGAAAATGAGTTTTCTGGAAATGTTAACAAAAAGTTGTTTGGTAGACTAACATATTCCCGGAAATATTGAGTTAATTTTGTTGATACTGTGTTTAGTTGTATTAAATTTTCCCTTGTCATAAAAATCTTAAAATACCACTTTCTGGATGGTATTCCTGGATGGTTTTTTCAAAAACATTTACGCACAAAAGAAAATCCCGGGAAAATCAGATTCCCGGGAAAATTTTAAAAATCCTGTACCAAACGATGCATTCTTATTTACCCAATCAAGGAATCTCGGGAAGACAAAAAAAATCCTGCTACCAAAGTGTTTTCTTGGGTGGATTTTGAGTGTCACATTGGTGGCCTGATTGGGTGTTGTGAACAGTGCCTGCAAATTTGTAATTTCAGGTTCAATGGCTTTTCAGGAAATCTTATAAGTTGGTGAGGGTTTTGAAAAAGTATGCTTAATTCTGTCTGCCAAAGAAATTAAATCTCATTAGGGTTGAAAACCAAATAAAGCAGAGTAGAGATTGAGAAGAAAAATATAAAAGTTTACCTAGGCTTCACACCTAGTGCCCCTTGCATGACCAGCAAGGGTTTGATTGCATAACATAGCCTAGAAGATAACAATTTGCTGCGTAATTTATCTAAAACTAGTAGCAGTGCATTCTAACTGGATCATCTCTCGGATGACATAATCCACCTTTATATGTTTGATCCTCTCGTGGTCAAATGAATGAACAAATGATTGAAAGGGGATTGTCAAATGATTGAACAAAAGCATTTATTAGAATTACACTTAATCAGTTTAGTGATACTAGATTACTCAATGATTATAGATTGTAGTTTGGGAAAGTCCGATCCTCTCTTTGCAACCTTGCTTAAGTCCTCTCCACATTCCATGTGAAGTTTATATCTGATCAGCTTGCTTAACATATTATAGGAAAAACATTTGTTAAGGTTAGGTTCTCAATTATTCATGATAAAAAATCAAATGATACAAGTAACTTATTAGTACCCAATAAAATAAGAAATTGATCATAGCTTTAGCTAGGTCTTACGATTTGATGTTTATATGACCAAAAGAGTGCTCTAAAAAGAAACCAAAATAAATTGAAAAAAGTAATATAGCTATTTGACCTTCTAATATTTCTAAGAATTCAAAGCCATAAAAGATATTCAATTATATTTCTGACAGTCTGATATACTGATACCGAAATTTATGACCTAAATCTAGCTTTTGTTTTGGAAAAAGTAAGTGGAAGGAATGAAAATAAGCAATGTCTTGATGAATGTATCTTGTCTACATTCATTTAAATTTGTTTCTTCCAGTTTTTTTTTCTCTGGCTATTGTTTCCCAAACAAACAATTGAAATTGAACGTTTATGTTGTATTTGTAGACATGGTACAATCTATCTCTGTAATCTTGAAACTCTGCATCCGTATTACATGGTTACAGCACCATTTTTAAACATATTATTGCAGAAGATGTGGTTGATGTATGTTTGTCCAACAATGTTTTGTCTACCTTTTTGTGTGTTTATTTAATGATGTTTATGTATTTCAATCTTTGTTCAGGTGATGGTGATAGAAATATGATTTTAGGAAAAAGTTTCTTTGTAACTCCTTCAGACTCTGTAGCAGTTATTGCAGCCAATGCAAAAGAAGCGATTCCGTACTTCAAGAACAGTGTTAAGGTAGAAATTTTATGCACAAATTATTATTAGGCATCCATCATTGTAAAACAGGAGTGTCACTAGTCACTATTCTGTATTTTAATTGCAGGGTCTTGCTCGATCAATGCCCACAAGCGGTGCTCTGGATCGTGTTGCTGAAAAGTTGAACCTCCCTTTCTTTGAGGCATGTATAATTATTATTATTTCTTTTGCAGTTTTTATCTTCTTAAAATATTCTAGATGAAGTACGCTTCATATAATAGACATAGTTCTCAAATAACAAAAGATGGACCTTGGATTCAGGTCCCCACTGGTTGGAAATTTTTTGGGAATCTTATGGATGCTGGGAATTTGTCAATTTGCGGGGAAGAGAGTTTTGGAACAGGTTCTGACCACATTCGTGAGAAGGACGGCATCTGGTAAATATTCCCCATGTTTTCTTCATTTACAAATAATTTACTCAATTCTATTTTTTATGGCTGGCTACTTTGGTGTATCTTGAAGTTGTTATTAGAATTCTGAAATACAATGTTGACACTGGCGAACAGTAACATCTGTATATCCTCATATTATGGTTTAGGCCAAACTCAGTTAAAATTCCTTAAATGTGTATTATGTTTCATACCTCGATTAGGACAACCTTAGAATGGAAGATAAGGTAGCTAAACAATAATACACGATATATTTTTATTAAAGAAACAGCATCAGAAGCACTTAAGGAAATTTATCCAAGTTTTGTCCTATTGTTAATTGTCTGTCTTATGTAAGTGTCTTCCGAATTACAGGGCTGTCCTAGCTTGGCTTTCTATTATTGCACAACGCAACAAGGACAAGAAGCCAGGGGAGAAATTGATCTCTGTATCTGATGTTGTGAAGGAGCACTGGGCAACATACGGAAGAAATTTTTTTTCTAGATATGACTACGAGGTAGATATTATTGCTGCAATTGAAGTTTCATGTGTAATATATTCTTGGCACTTCAGTTTTTAGTTTTGGAATTTTTCAATACCATGAACTAGGTTAAGTGTGATGTTTCATTAAAATCTAAGTCCTTATATAATAGGAATGTGAATCGGAAGGTGCCAATAAGATGATAGCATACCTACGAGAGTGTGTGTCTAAGAGCAAGCCTGGTGATAAGTATGGTAAGTTGATACAAGCACTTTCTTTTAATCTTGATGATCCTCTCTTGAATATATTTGAAGTGTGGAAAGTATTCTTCTACAGGAAGTTATGTCCTTCAGTTTGCGGATGATTTTACGTACACTGATCCTGTAAGTTTTTTACGTTGTGTATATTTTTTATCATGTTCATTTTTTATTTTTGAATTCAAGGTCAAGCAATAATAATTCAAATTTTCCTTGCATTTGTAATTGGTTCTAATCTGATTTAAATTTGCAGGTAGATGGAAGTGTAGTATCAAAACAAGGTGTTCGGTTTGTTTTTACAGATGGTTCAAGGATTATATATCGTTTATCAGTACGTGGCATCCATCTATTTGTTTCTCCACCAAAGAAGTTGACTCCATCTTGGAAATTAATGTAAAATTAAACATAACGTGATTGTCATGTTTTCTTTCCCAGGGAACGGGTTCTGCAGGTGCAACTGTTAGAGTGTACATTGAACAGTTTGAACCAGATGTCTCTAAACATGATGTTGATGCCCAGATTGCCTTAAAACCATTAATAGGTTATTTTCATTTACCAAGACAAAGTATATTAGTATAAACTGATTTGTTTATTTTCTATGCTATTGATTGCTCTTATTATTGTGCAGATTTAGCATTATCCGTGTCAAAGCTCAAAGACTTCACAGGGAGGGAGAAGCCTACAGTCATCACATAATGTACAATTCCACAATCACTTATCAAGTTGTCATATATCAAGGTGTATAAGTTGAGTGCATACGCAGGTTGTTTGTTTGTCACGCCTATCCTTGTTAGAGCTCGAGTTCGATCCATTTGTCAGCTTCAGTTTTGGTTATTCAAGCATTTTGGAGCAACAGGCCCCTCTGTAAAATATTATGGTCTTTTATATTAATGAGCAAAAAATGAAGTATCACTATTGTGTAACAAAATAATAATAATAATAATTGTTACAATAATAACAATATAATCTTTCATAGTTTTGCCCAATTTCTAGATTCAGAAACTGGAGTTACATCTAAAGCAGAATTTCAATTTGAGTTATGTTCTAAACTTCTGTAATATAGTTGACGTATATACTCGATATTTTCTTTTTGTCAACAACTATTAAATGGGTTGTATTCTTGGTGATGAATTTACTATGTTCTCAGTCTAGCATGTGATTATGATAAACCGCTAAATTTCAACTAGTTCATCTCAGCAAATGAAAAAAAAAAAAAAAAAAAGATTGTATATTTCTGGACCACAGGTTTATGAATAAATCAGTATTTTAAAACTTGACTCGGTGAAGATATATATTGGTTTATTAGATTGTTGGTTTAATTGGTAGGTTACTAGTTTAACTGCTTTAATTAAATTTATATTAAATTATATAATAAGTATATTATAAAATATATTTTGACTAATAATTAAGGATAATGATAAGTGATAATACTATTCACTTTGATACGCTGGTCATACTATTTGGACTATTTTGAATTTTGTTCAGTTGTTTCGTCTTGGTATATCATTTGAAGACAATGAATGACAGCAACCTATCATCATCATCATCATGTAACTTGACTTTGGTGTAGGCTCATAGGGATTACAATGACCGCATATACTGTCATGGTTATGTCATTGAAAGACATGATGTGGTGTGGTGGCAATCGGTGCAAGATCGAGTTAACAATAGGTACTTGCCCACGTAACTAGCAATCCTTTTGATCATCTTTCATCTCATGATCTGGTCAGCTTTCCATATGCTTATGTGGGAATTGACCGAGTATTTGGTACAGGAGAAATATTTTTTTATTCGAGAAATAATTATTATTAAAATGTAGTAAAAATATATTTTTCTGGAATGTTATTAAAAAGCTATTTGTAGACCCTAATTTTTTCGAGATTATTTGGTTAAGTTTAATGAATTTACGTTTGATTGATTGTGAAATATTAATAGGAATATGACATTTTTTTACAAAAATAACCTCAGTTTCGTTTATTTTTTGGTAGAGCTTTTTGAACCACATAGCTCTGAACTCAAAAATTAAAGTTTCTTCACAGACTTCACAAAGGTAGGGTTAATTTAGTCCAGAATTTCTTATTAATTTATCACTTCCTTTGGAAACCAAAAATGCCAATAAATTTGTGGTATTGTTGAGCTGGTATCTGTACCCCCTTTACACTGCACAATGAAATCCAGAAAAAAAATATATCTAGAATAATTTTCAATTTTTGGCTACCAAACATAAGATTCTAATTTACCTAAACTCAATTTCCAGGCTTTTACAAAAAAATCCGAGTACCAAACACGACCTAAGCCCAAGAGATTTATCAGTTGTGTCATGAGCATCCTTCGGAAGCGAAAGTTATTACTTTAAAGTAACAAAAGAAAATATAAGAAAATCTTCTATGTACTCAGTCTACATTTACCTTTTAGACCTAACAGTTTAGATTAATTTGTACAATGAATCATACTTAAATAACGATAGTCACAATAATAATAATACACTCAGCATAAAACATATATGAAATGTTAGAGAGCGCATATTCATCTGGGAAACCACTTGTCTTGAAAACTTCTTTATGGAATTCAATCTTGTCATATTAGTTGGCTAATGTCAATTGAATTTAACTTAATTTGGTTGGAGTCAAAGTAATGTATAGATAGATATAGGGTAAGTCATCATAAGGTAGGGCACTTACGTATTGAATTTAATATGTTGGTGTCATGTGGGATTCATTATATTAAATCAATTAAATACAAATTCCTAATATTGGAACTGCCTACGTCTAAAAAAAATAAAATCGAAGAAGAAGTTAAAACGTATGGCGGCAACGAGATTGGCTTAAAATGCGTTGAACCTTTGGACTTGTAAGTTCAGGTGAGATTTGTGATATACCCTAATCTTGAAATGGGGACATTTTTTTTTTTCTTATACTTTTTACCCATCAAAATATAATAATAATAACAATAAGTTTGTAACTTGCATGATAATATATAAAGCAATCTGAATTTGAGTTTGGTAACTTGCACGATATTATGCATAGGGAAATTCTTCAGATAGATAAGGCCAGTGGTATTTTCTTGATGCAACAGGCAACGGGTATGGGGATGATTATCTGCTAAGGCCTGATAATAAGGACATGGAACGGGACAGGAATCATATGTTCTAGCTAGCTCTCTAACCTTTTTCTTTTCAAATTATTTGCATATACTAAAATATTTTTAATGTACATTATTTAGATTTTTAAAATATTTTTAGGATTATAGATGTTCGCTTTAATTTTCATTTCTTGCTGGGAGGTGTATTTATTTCATCCTCATTGATTTTCGAGAAAAAGAGAGAGAGAGAAGCGACGTTATAATATAATAAGATTTAAGAAGCATGAAATATTCATGATGAATAAATTAAGGGAAAAGTGTTTGTCCTTTTTTTTTTTTTTTTTGGTACATTGCCAGGAGGTATTTCCATTCAACTTTCTCCGGGCACCATGCCCTCGGGGTACGGCCCGTTTGGGTTAGCCCCTCATTGTAACAGTGGGTGCACTAAGCTTCGCAACCAGAGAAAAGACGAGACTAATCCGTCAACCGAAGATTTTTGGCTTATCCTCTGGCCCCCAAAGATTTTCCAAGAAACTGCTTGAGACAGGGTTTGAGCCCTACACCAAGCAATCCCTTGGGAGCTCAGCTGCCAATTATGTTATTTTACTCTCACAAAGAGGTGGGACCCATACATTTATTTTTTTTTTGTCTATTCTCTCTCTTCTTTTATCTATCTCTTTCTCTCATTTAAAATAACACAACTTTACATCTTTTAAAATAATACACACTTTCCCATAAAGTAATTACAGTAAAATTCGCCAATCCCGCAGCTCTAAAGGTTTGCTTTGCTGCATTAATCATATTTACATGTACAAATTATATTTCAAGTATTTATTTATTTTTGAATTTTTATTATATTATAAGGACAAAACTCAATTTTAATATTTGGCTCCTTCCCACCATATAAATTTTATCATGAAAAGAAAAAAGTTATACCTAATTAGTAGATATATACGTCATACGTGGCCTAAAAGAAAAATGTTGCAGTTAGACTTACATGAACATTTTAGGACTTTAGGTGATAACAGGTGAGGACGTATACAAAAAAGTTCAAAAAATGTGATTCCCGACAATACTTTCTGTCCCTTTTCCCTTACTTTGTTCCTTTAGGGGTTACTTAATAATTAATGGGTTTTATTTTTCTCATGTTGTAGGAGATAAGTATCTCCTACTATAGATACATAATATAATGGAGCCCACCATCCATTAAAAAAAGAAAAAAGAAAAAATGATGTCATAACTTTTTATGTGAGAGAAACATGAGATAATTATCTCATGTATCTCATGTAAAATGAGACAATTATTTCCCAAACTTAATACTAATAGAGACCCCTCAACTGAGTCTGACAAGATAAGATCTAAGTATTTATCACAAGAAATAGAAATAAAAGCAAAAACATTTATATGTGAACAGTAAATTTGTTATTTAAATTAGATTTTTAATTTTTATAAAAATAAATCAAAAGTAATAAAGTGGAAAAAAAACTGATAAGCACGACTAGTGGATATCAAGATGCTAAATTTTATTTTATATATATATATATATATATTAATATGCACATGAATAAATTAGAATCGTTAAAATTTTAATGAGATCAAATGATTAATAATACGTATAAGATTATACAGATATATGTTCATCATTTTAAGATTAACTAATTGTGCTTTTGTTGTGATAAAGTACGAATTAGAAGCTCTGGGGATTGAGATATGGTCTTCCCTGAGCTGTAGAGATGGAAATGGACTGCCTGTAGCTGTACAATGCTTCGCTTTATCTAGAGGTGTTTATCAACCGATTCAAACTGCGGTGACAGAACTGAAAAATCGATAATCGAATAAATCAAAAATCGAAAAACTGAGAATTGAAAAAAATCCGTATATTTTAATTGGATTGGATCGATTTTCGGATTGATTGATGAAAATCGATCCAATCCAAACCGATCTAATATATTAATTTCTCTCTACCTACTTGGATATTTCCTCAATCATAGCCAAAAAAAATTTAAACACAAGAGTCATTAACCCATCAACTAAACCAAAAAAAAATCTAGTCACATTTCATCAACAAAATTTCATCTGTGTAGAGCTTCATATCTCATTGCCCAAAAAAAAGACTATATTATCGTTTACTGATGTTTTTGTATTTCAATTTTTTTTACAAAGTTAATATATACAAAAGATGTTATTTGCACAATAATTATGAAATAAATTTTAAGATTTTCAAAATATCGAAAACCAATCCAATCCAAACTGAAAAAAATTGGATTGGATCGGGTCAGATTTGAAAAAAAAAATTCAAACCGAATGAATGATTACATGATCAAACCGAAAGAATTAGATCGGATAATTTTTGCTTCCAAAATCAATCCAATTCATACGGAAAATACCCTAGTGTTATCTCATTGAGACACTTTTTATTTAATTGTTATTTGTTAACGACTACACTCCATCAATAAAACTATCAGTTTTTTTGTATGTTTTCTTAAGAGAATTAGTTACATGTACCAGAATCTATGATCAACTTATCTAGAACTTATTTTTTATGCTCATTCTTTAAATAAAATTTAAATTTCAGCACAAAATAATAAAAAACAGATCTATGCAATAGTCATACTTCAAAATCTTAAAAAAAAAATATCGCGTTAGGGGAGGTGCAAATAAGGTAGTATATATAGCCTTGCTAACATTTCTTGTTATTTTTCCTATAGAATTTTCTCATATATTATTTAACATAATTATATCATTGGAAAAACATGTTAAAAATATATGGGATTTAACATGACCGTATCACCCCCTATTCTATATTTCTTCTCTCTCATCTCTCATAATCGTTTATCTAATCATAAATATATAGATCTTCCCGCATGATATGGTTATGTTAAATAACACGAGAGTAGCTATTCCA